ACAGTCTGCCTTCGTCTACTATACACCACAGACCCCATTAAAATGAATGGGCCTCCCTGACAGATAGCTGGTTCTCTGTCTATTACAGTGAATTCCCCTTATTGTCATTTTCACTCTGGTGGCCAACAAAAGTGATAGCCGCAGGGTTTGACCCCCAGGATCACGTTGTTTCCCTCAGAGAACTATTGTGCACTAAAACTATTGTGCTGTAAAGCAAGTCAGTCAGCCGCTTTTGCAGGTGGATGTTACTGTTTTATTATGGCGATTGGCCTTTGAGAAGATGTGAACACTCACATCAGAAAGAAGACAGCACAATGGCAATGAAGTGTATGTGCGCGAAAACATTGTGTGCAAATAAACATGACAACAGGCAAATGTCATCTGAAAGGTCACTGTTCTTCATGGAATCCTAAGTTGCTTTCTTAGTCTAAAAGTGGTGTCTAAAAAGTGTCTAGCACCCTAACCACCATGTAAGCGTTAGCGAAAATGGCTCACAACAGAAACAGTTTTTATATTCAGGGAATCCCTGTATGTCGGGATTTTTAACACATAGTTTGAACTGATACTCTAGTGTAGTGCTGAGGGTGTGCTGCATTGTGACTTTGGATGAGACATTATAACAAGGTCCCATCTGCAAGTTCAGGTGCATGTTAAGGATCCCATGGCACTGTTCAAAAAAGAAGAGCGTTTCTCCCAGTGTCCTGGACAACAAATCCACAGTCACAAAACTGGTCATTCACTTCATGGCTGTGGGATATTTTTGTGTGCAAATAGGCTGCTGCGGTCACCTACAAAGTACTCAGTCTTTACTGCACTAAAACCTGTGAAGCAATGTAATACATCTCCTGATGTGAAAGATGCTCTATCAAATGCAAGGATTATTATTATTTATTAGTATTATTTTGTCATGTAGACTCATAAGACTTTGACTCTGAATACGGGTCCTTGCTGAGGTCTAGTGACTACTTTCTGTAGTGAGGAATTGTTGGAGAGAACAATTTTCGCATTGAGGGGACTTTTGCAGTTCAAGCATTGGTCCAGTTCAGATTTTACTTTTAACTTGCAGTACTTTTAAATAATTTACCTAATGTGGAGGAAAAATAGGTGTGATGTGGACTTATGGGGTATGAAGTATACCACTCTCGAGGCATTTCCCATAAGTGACTGAATACTCTGTTGCTTGCATAGTATCAGTGACCTGAAATTCCACTGTTTTTAATACCTAATTATCTTCAAATGTCCCACAAATCAAAATGTTCCCAGAGTGCTGCACAATCTTACATTTTAAAATCGAATGGTCATAAAAGTTAAGACTGGGTGTAATTTCAGGCTCCAGATCAACCCAGTCATGAGATATGAATGATAATTCCACAGCTCCTCATCACATAACCTTTAACTATTACCAGAACAGTGTACCTTTCAAAAGTTAGTTCTAATGATTATATTGAAATTTATCTGAATACCTTTTTGGGGGGAGTGGGCTCAGTTTGATGGGGGACACAAATAAATATGCATCACAATGCTTAAAGACTACCAGAACAAACAACTGAGAGGCCCATTTATGAATAGTTTCCAGTTGCTTGAATAGTTCCTGAATTTCTTCACTCAAGTCAATTGGGCCACGTAAGGAAGTTGCTTTCCTTTGATTTAGATGTCAGCCTGATGTGGTCAGCTCAGTTGATAACACTCTTGGCTTTGAGTCAATAGTCATGGGGATTTTGAACTCACATAGGCTGACAATCAATTCAGTGCTGAGGGAATGCATTGTTGGAGGTGTCCTTTGGATAAAATGTTAGACCAAGATCCCGCCTGCCTGTTCAGGTGGACATTAACAATGACCACAGCATTAAAGAGTCCATGGCACTATTTGAAAAGAGAAGAGTTTCTCATAGTGTCCTGGCCCCAGATAAAAAAATTGTTCATTCTATTTATGGCTGTTCATGCGACATTTCAATATGCAAATTGACAGTCACATTCACTTATAAAATCAAGTCACTACACTTCACAGTGAATCCTGTGAAGTGCTTCGAGCTATCCTCGTGATGTGAAAGGTGCAACATCAAATAGCAGGATTATTGTCAATGTTTAAAAGCTACAGGTTTAAATAAGCAATAGTTTAATGGATTCAATTTTGTTTGCTGACAGGTGGAATGCTGCAAATGGAGCTGTTTTGCAGCCTTGAGCCATTATTTGCCAAATAATCATATTGAGTTTCATCTTATGAACACTTTGATCTGTGTATTTATACTGTAAACTAACATGAGAGCTGATAAATGTTACGACAGAGCATAGAAACCAATTACCCAAAACCATGTTTTCATTTTTAAAGTAATTTTTGTTATAATTGATTTTCTGAAAGTGCCTTAGATACTGCTCAACATACTTGTAATTGTAATTGAAGCTAAACTTAACACATTTACACATACCAAAACGACTAGCCATTTGAGGCATTTTGTGTCTTTTACACGTTGAACATTTTCATATAGACATATTTAAATTCCAATCACCAAATTGCAACGACATAAACGCAAAACAGTCAAATGTTTTGTGATTATTCAGTTCACTCATCAGTACGTCAAGCTTTGAAACTGTGCTACTTCGTGTTTTGCAAACCAAAGCAGCAAGCAGCAGGGAGACACTGTAAGCTTGTCACTCCTTACACAAACATGGTATTGAAAGTAGACCAAAGAGCTCCCCTAGTGGGTAAAAATGCACCACTAAGCCACAGGACCTTAATTTCTCATGCTCTTAGATTTAACAACAACAATAACTTGCATTTATATAGCCCCCTTCACGTAGGGTAGAGTTTCAGAGTGCTTAACAGTGGTGGACGTTGACACTGAACCAGGGAGAAAGAGGAAGTGAACACAGGCACAGTCGAAGAGAAGAGTCTTCAGGTGTGATCTGAAGACAGACAAGGAGGCGGCAAGTGGAGGGATTGAGGCAGAGTCTTGGGGTATAGTAGCTGAAAAATTCTTACATTCAGCCGTAATTTGTGAATCAGTTTTGCACACGTCTTAGAAAGAGTCCAGCTTACAAATTCAGATTATATGCACAATTCAGCTGCTGCGTTCACCTACAAGTAGTCACTACAATTTACAGTGAATCCTGTGAAGTGCTTAGGGATGTCCTCCCAAAGTGGAAGGTGTTATACCAAGTGCAAGGCGTTTTATAATGGAATTTAAGAAATTTCCTCAATTCTGCAGCATTCTAAAATTATAAGACAGAATGGGTTTACAGGCTGAGGGTTCAATTTGTGGCCTCTAGTCTCTGATATGATGGATAGCTACGTAGGGGTGTGGCATTCGAGGGCGATCGGTGCTGTGTAATTCTGATGAAGATGGGGAGAGAATTTATTTTTAAAGAAAAACCAGAATAAATGCATTGATGCAATGAGTTCACCAGTACCACAGGTTTCACTGAGCAAATGGGTTATAGTTTGCAATGGTTCTTGCATAATGCATCCATCAATTTTCACTGTCTCTATGGAGTCACTGTTTCATAGCTTGTTTTGTGGTCCTTATCATGCCCTGTTAACATACTTTTTTTCATTTTTGCTCCCCACGTCCACGCACCATCTCCAGTTCAGACCTCCTCTGAGGCCTCTGGCAATGTTGTTATGAAACCAGGAAGAGATCGCAGGAGCCCAGTAACTCTCTCTTCCTTACATTTTGCTTTTCTGTGGGGCTGTTTGTCCTCAGAGACTTCCCCCGGGACCACAGCTGAGATTGGGACTGCACCATTGCAGAGGACTGTGTGTCCACCCACTCCACTCCGGTTATTGATACACCGATTAAGCCTCTGACGTGGGGGCACCAAACCACACGGCTGGAATTTGACAAACTCGGCACAAAGCTGCAAACAGGTGAGCGGCACAACTCTGCATAATAGGTATTGGCTAAAACCACTTTAGTTTGGGCGCTGAAACCACTTTCTGATAAGTTTCCAGCGAGGACCACCCGACCCGCTTCAGGCTTTGGTTCACACAATTAATCTGTAAATCTCTGCTCCGAATGACGGGGCGGAGTGGGGAGGGGGGCAGTGGGGGGGGGGGCAGTGGGGAGGGGCAGTGGGAGGGGGCAGTGGGAGGGGGGGCAGTGGAGGGGGGGGCAGTGGGGGGGGGGCAGTGGGAGGGGGGCAGTGGGAGGGGGGGGCAGTGGGGGGGGGGGCAGTGGGAGGGGGGGCAGTGGGAGGGGGGGGGCAGTGGGAGGGGGCAGTGGGGAGGGGCAGCGGGAGGGGGCAGTGGGAGGGGGCAGTGGGAGGGGGCAGGGCAGCGGGAGGGGGCAGTGGGAGGGGGCAGTGGGAGGGGGCAGTGGGAGGGGGCAGTGGGGAGGGGGGGGGCAGTGGGGAGGGGGGGGCAGTGGGGAGGGGGGGGGCAGTGGGAGGGGGGGGGCAGTGGGGGGGGGGCAGTGGGGGGGGGGGCAGTGGGGAGGGGGGGCAGTGGGAGGGGGGCAGTGGGGGGGGCAGTGGGGGGGGGCAGTGGGGGGGGGCAGTGGGGGGGGGGGCAGTGGGAGGGGGGGGGTGGCATTGGTGCTGCCGATGAGCCATGGAGTCCTGTGGAGCCGCTCGGCTCAGGAACCCGACCAGAGACCGACACGGAGGGCGGCGCTCGATCATGACATTCCGCAGCCAAGACGTCGGGATCGGGAAACCTGTTCCGATGCCACTTCAGCTCCAGGAGACCCGGAGCCCGTCCCTGGGGGGGACCCGCTCAGGGGTCAAGCAACCACTGCCCAACCAATGAGAGGGCGACCTCGGGACAGCGCATGAGAACGCGGGGGCGGGGCAGCCAATGAGAGCGCGGGATCGAAGCAGCCAATGAGAGGCGGGAGCGAGGCAGCCAATGAGAGGAGGGGCAGGGCAGCCAATGAGAGGCGGGGTCGAAGCAGCCAATGAAAGAAGGGGCGAAGCAGCCAATGAGAGGAGGGGCGGGGCAGCCAATGAGAGCGCGGAATCGAAGCAGCCAATGAGAGTCGGGGGCGGGGCAGCCAATGAGAGGCGGGGGCGAAGCAGCCAATGAGAGGAGGGGCGGGTGAAGATGGCGCTGGCGGAGCTGTGCGCTCTGGAGAAGACTCTCGGTCTGAGGAGAAACCAGTTCAGTGACTGTCAGGGCGACAGTGGGGTGAGTGCAGCGCCGCCAGAGCAGCTCCAACCACAGGCACTCACTGCACTCAGCCTGACACTGCCTGGGATCAGCACAGGGCACAGCACACAGCACAGCACAGGGCACAGGGCACAGGGCAGAGCACAGGCTACAGGGCAGAGCACAGGGTACAGGACACAGCACAGGGCACAGGACAGGGCACAGGACAGGGCACAGCACAGGGCACAGGACAGGGCACAGAGCACAGGGCACAGAGCACAGCACAGGGCACAGGACAGGGCAGAGCACAGGGCACAGGACAGGGCAGAGCACAGGGTACAGGACACAGCACAGGGCACAGGACAGGGCAGAGCACAGGGTACAGGACAGGGCACAGGACAGGGCAGAGCACAGGGCACAGGACAGGGCAGGGTACAGCACAGGGCACAGAGCACAGCACAGGGCACAGGGCAGGGCACAGCACAGGGCACAGAGCACAGCACAGGGCACAGCACAGGGCACAGCACAGAGACAGCACAGGGCACAGCACAGGGCACAGCACAGGGCACAGCACAGAGCACAGCACAGGGCACAGGACAGGGCACAGGACAGGGCAGAGCACAGGGCACAGAGCACAGGACAGGGCACAGGACAGGGCACAGGACAAGGCACAGGACAGGGCACAGCACAGGATACAGGGCACAGCACAGGGTACAGGGCACAGGACAGGGCAGAGCACAGGGTACAGGGCACAGCACAGGACGGCACAGGGCACAGGACAGGGCACAGCACAGGGTACAGGGCAGAGCACAGGGTACAGGGCACAGCACAGGACGGCACAGGACAGGACAGGGCACAGGACTGGGTACAGGGCACAGCACAGGACAGGGCATAGCACAGGGCACAGAGCACAGCACAGGGCACAGGACAGGGCAGAGCACAGGGTACAGGACACAGCACAGGGTACAGGGCACAGCACAGGGTACAGGACAGGGTACAGCACAGGGCACAGGGCACAGCACAGGGTACAGGGCACAGCACAGGGTACAGGGCACAGGACAGGGTACAGGGCAGAGCACAGGGTACAGCACAGGACAGGGCAGAGCACAGGGTACAGGGCACAGCACAGGATAGGGCACAGGGCACAGCACAGGATAGGGCACAGGACAGGGCAGGACACAGCACAGGGTACAGGGCACAGCACAGGACACAGCACAGTACAGGGCACAGCACAGGGCAGAGCACAGGACACAGGACAGGGCAGGGCACAGCACGACACAGCACAGGGTACAGGGCACAGCACAGGATAGGGCACAGGACAGGGCACAGCACAGGGCACAGCACAGGGCACAGGACAAGGCACAGGACAGAGCACAGGACAGGGCACAGCACAGAGCACAGGGCACAGCACAGGGCACACCACAGAGCACAGCATAGAGAGCAGGGTACGGCATAGAGCACAGACCACAGGGCACAGAACAGGGCATAGGGCACAGGACACAGAGTATGGCACAGGGCTGGATCACAGGGCACATGGCATAGAGCTGAGGGCACAGAGCACAGGGCTGGGTCACAGGGCACAGGGTTAGGGAGGGAGGGAGGGAGGGAGGGAGGGGGAGGTTTGTCAGGCTCTGACAATCTACTGAACATTATTTCTCCATTGCACCAAATGCAATTATGATCTGCTGTTAATTCTGCTGAGTAATGTCATTCATGTGGACATTGCCACGTATTGCCATTTGCTTCAAAACCTGCTGTTGACCAGAGAGGGAGAAATAAACTGATTAAAGCAAACACTGCAATGTAAGAAATTGGTCATGCAAATCATTGAGGCAATTTTTAGACTGTACGATTAGTAAATTATTTGTGTCAGTCTGGCTCAGTTGGTAGTCCTTTCGCCTCTGGGTCAGGAGGTTGTGGATTCAAGTCCCAGGTCAGGACTTGAACTGACATAGTCTAAGATGACGCTCCCACGCAGTGCTGGGAGGTGTTGAATTGAGAGATATGCTGTCCTATGGATAAGACATTAAACCGAGGTCCTGTCTGCCTGTTCAGGTGGAAGTTAAAGATCTCATGGCACGATTCGAAAAGAGAAGGAAGTTTCCCTGGCCAACAATCCAACAAATAAAATTGGTCGCTCACTTCACGGCTGTTTTGGGGATATTGCTATGCTCAAATTCGCTGCCGCATTTGCCCACAAATACACAGTCAATCCTGTAAAGCACTTTGGAACATCCTCCCAATGTGAAAGGTGTAAGGATTATTATTATCCAATGAGGTTACAGAAAGGAACTGAAGATAAGTTAGAAAAAGGAACCCCCAGATAAAATTGGGCAGGGTTGTTTGTGGCACATTACAGTGCGCCGATTATCTGCCACATTGCGAAGTGCTTTAAGACATCTTCCTGACATGAAACATGCTATAATGAATGTAAGGATTATTATAATTATAACTAGGCTTTGGACATTATAAATATTTGTCACTTTTAAAAGGATCAGTTCAGTAGTTTACAACTAGAAACATAGTCTACATCTGTGTAATGCAGGCAGACAGCTGTGTCAACTGTTACGAGCACAAAATGTGATTAAATTAATCTCCCTTAGAGGCACAAAAGTGCTAATATTGTGTATGGAATTGGTTCACAGGCTTTTCTGCTAATGATAACTCCTTGAGTATGGACAGGCAGAAATAGAATCACTAATTAGTTTTGCAGTTCCTCGCTTGTACTTGTATAGGTGCAAAAACAATACAAGTCAAATAAACCCTGACCACCGATATAGTGTGCACTTACTATGTAATTTTTGATTCAATTGTAATTGTGGCAATTCATTGTGAAAGTCATTTCCTGTCAATGGGCCAGTAGAACAGTGATTGAGGTTGTAACCTTCAGAGTGATTCTTGCATAAAAAAAATACTGCAGTAAAGGTGGCACAAAGGAGGTTAATACTTTTCTTTGGGTTTAGGAGCATTGTGATGCTGTATTGTGATGCTGTGATACTTTTTCCGAAGCAAACATGTTATAATAAAATAATAACCCTTGCATTTGATATAGTGTCTTATATCATTAAAATATTTTCAGGCGCTTCACAGGATTTACTGTGAAGTGTAGTGTCTTTATTTGTAGGTGAATATGGCAGTCAATTTGCATATACCAATGTTCGACAAACAGCCATGAAATGAATGACCATGTTTACTTGGAGATTGTTGGCTAGGACATTGGTAGAAGCTCACTTCTCTTTCAAATAGTATCACAAGATCTTTAAATATCTACCTGAACATAGTAACTCGGCCAGTCCAACCACAGTATAAGAGTTAATAGTGGGAAAAACTGAGGTGGCACCTGTGCTGGGTGGGGAGGGAAGAGCAGTCTTATCTTAATCTATATTTGGTGTAAAGTTTTTAACATTCAGCTAACATATAAAACAACCCAGTTGCAACTGTAGCACCAAATTATGCAAAAAACGCAAGATAAGCTTTAAAAAGCCATACAAATCCTCAATAATGGTGTAATGCAATGCCTCCTTGCTTAATACTAAAACATGTTACTTTGCGGTTGCTATGTTAGTAGAATGGAAACATAATAACTAGGATGAGAATTCATAGCTGAAATCCATTCCCTAGAATGCAGCGTTTAGAAGCTTCTTCAATCGTTTGCTCGTGGTTTATATTCATCTCTGAATCCCTATATGCTTAAATTAGAGTGTTTTAGTTCTTGATGTATCACCATCCTGCAATATGTAGTTCTTTGCTGAATACCGGGTGCAGTGTATAAGGGCGTCACTGAAAAGGCACCCAGGATTATGAGACTTGTATTACTGGTGTGACTTCATTATATTTTATTGTTTTTGCAGCACTGAATGAGTCACACACTTTGTTGAAATAGGTTATCTCCAAAACTCAACCTTTTTTTTTACCAGTAGTATAGCTTGTTCAAGTACAGTATGTGGCTGTTGTTTAGATGCAAAAATTTTGTTTCATACTGATGTGCTTTTGAATTGAGCTGCCACTGAATTATTTTAGATACAGTGCATAGTTACTGTACATACCATTATTCGTAATGCATTTCAATAACCCATTTATATTTCATCTTTGGGATTTCAGTTTCCTCGTAATTATATTTATTTTGTAATATGTTTCCGCAAATCTTTTCCTAAGCTGTTTTGAACATTAAGATCTCATTACAGAATGCCTTTGTCTGGGACTCTTATTTTCTCTTATTTGAAGCTGAGCTGGATTTATAAACTTCATTTATTACTGAAATAATGTTGCTCTCGTTCTTTTCTATGCACCATTGCATTTTACAATTTCATGGATTGAGTAGATTACGCAGCGTGCATGGCTGGAATTTGCCCCATCAGGTAATCACTGCAACAAGTTGAACAGCATCAAATGGGAAATTAAATGGAAGGGTTCCATTGTCAAAATTTACCAATACAATCTTCCATTAGGTGCTTAGGGTGGGTCTTTACGGTGAAAGACGATCCTTCGTGTCAGTAAAACAGTCCTTAATAGCTTTGAGATGGTTTGTGTATTAACTCTAATTTGGTTATTATCGGAAATAATATTATGTGTCGAGCAGCAATGTGTGGCTGAATTATTTCAGGCGTGTAAAAGGCCAGTAATTCACCAGCACTGTAGACAGAAGTGAGTTAATGAGGTCATTCACATGAGTGAAGTAACACTGAGAATGTACCACACAAACCCGATATTCTCTTATTACTTTAAGTCGTCTTTTGGGTTTCAAGCTGAGGAAAATAAAATGAACTGCTGAGTTTTAAACCTTATTCTGTTTCCCGAAGAAAATCTGGCATTTGTTCTCGCTTAAGAATTTAAATCTGACACTGTCATTTTAAGTTCTACCTTGGAGGTGAATGCATAGAGGAAATGAGACGATTGGGATGATCTTATAAGAGACGCTTTAAAGCTGTACTATGAGTGTTATTATGTGGAAGGCATCAAGTAACTGGTATTTGATGTCTTCTACATCATAGCACTCATAGTACGGTGACTGATGTGGGGGTGTTGAAAAATCTAATCTACACAATGTAATTCCAGCAATATAGCTATTGGTGACTTTTCACAACTTGTTTTTGTCTTCCTTTAATCTGATTTTAAAGCTGTAGAATTCACTGCTGTATAATGAATACATGTAATATAAATGTACGGTCAGACAAACCTACAGTATACTGTATAATTGTTTATGATTCCCAATGTCTTCAGGTCATTTTATCAGGATATTAGAAATAAAAAAAGCTTATTGTTTTGTAGTTTGTATACACACTTAATCAACAAAGGCAGACACACGGTCTTAGAAAAGGTTATATTACAGTAGTTGCATATGACTGTGTTTTATGGACAAAAGCGGCAGCCAATTACACAAAGCCGTGTCCCACAAACAGCCATGAAATCGATGACCAATTCTATTTTGAGGAATTATTGGCCAGGAAACCTGGAGAGAGAAACTCCCTTCTCTTTTTGAAAGTGCCATAGGATCAGAAGGTTGTGCGTTCAAGTACCACACCTTGGTTTGGATGAACTTGGATTCACATAGTCTAAGCTGACACTCCCGTGCGGTGAAGGGGGTTTGCTGCACTGTCGGACTTGCCATGCTTTGGATGAGATGTTAAACCGAGGTCCTGTCTGCCTCTTCAGGTGGGCATGAAAGATCCCATGGCACTATTCGAAAAGAGAAAGGAGTTTTTCCTGGTGTCCTGGCCAACGTTCCCTGAAATAAAATTGATCACTCACTTCATTGGCTGTTTGTGGGATATTGCTGGGCACAAAATTCGCTGCCATGTTCATCCAAAAATACAGTAAATCCAGTGAAGCACTTTGGGCGTTCTCCTGATATAAAAGGCGCTATACTATATACAAGGATTATTATTATTATTTTATATGATAAAGAAAGTCACCCTTAACAATGCAGCGATCCCCAGCACTGCATTGGAGTGTCACTTAAACTACATGACTTCCAAGTCCCGACGTGGGGCTTCAATCCACAACCTTCTGACTCAGAGGAGAAAGTGCTACCAATTAGCCAGCCTGACACACGTGGTCTTTATGGTCTCTTAGGAAATCTCTCAAGGAACATGGTGATTTAATTGGTCCTATGCAATTATTCTAGTTAGCTTGCTATATATACATATTAAGTCTATAATCCTGTGTAATGGATCTGGCACTTGATCAGAGTTGTAAGACTTGTTTGCTGATGCTGTGATACAATTGTGTCCATACACCCACTGTTAAGGTCCACTTAGAAGCATCTTAGTTTTTCATCTCAATATAGATCATGCTTTTTATCTTGATATCTAAAATTGTATCTGTGCAACTTTCATTACTGTATGAAGAACTATAGCTAAATATTTAAACTTGTGTCCTTTTCCAGGTTCCAGTGCTTCAGACAAATAATGGGCCTGGTCTTGTGGGACTGACTACCATAGCGTCTCACCTTGCGAAACTGGCCCAAAGAGCAGAACTCTTGGGAACTACACCAGAGGAGAGCGCAGTAGTTCAGCAATGGCTTGAATATAGAGTAACCCAGGTAGATAGGTGCACCAGTCAAGAGGACACAAGAACTATTTTAAAGGTAAGGGCTAACCTCAATTCCAAAGACCAATTCCTTTGTGTATGTGAGGATATGAAATATTTTCTCCTCAATCCCATGGACTCCATGAGCCTTGCACCACGTGGATGTGAGGAAAAGCGAGAATCTCCAAGACTCTGAACCAGCCAGAGGGAGACTTTTTGTTTGAAGGCAAATTAAATTATTCATTCTGGATATGAAATATGAGGGTATAAATTTATCCTGGCTGGTGTGTTTGAAAGCATTATGATCCAACTGTAGTGTGCTATATTCTGATGAGAAAATGATAGCTTTGTTTTACAAATTGATGGCAAGCAAGGACATGCAGGCTGTTGAGGTTTCCCATGGTATTGACTGTCACAAGAAAAGCAAACCTCCATCTAATATAATGCCTTGAAATTGACTCCAAGGCTATTTTTATCTTGCATCAGTCCCAGTCTGTTATCTGCCCCCTCCCCTCAATACAGTTCAGCGTTTCCTCTTGCTAGAATTCTCTTTCCTCCTCTTCCTGAAGATGCTCTGACTCTATTTACCCTGTACTGGGATTTTTACAGTTAGCACCCACTCTCCATTACATAACTCAAGCACCTTCTCTTCAGCGCCTTCGGACGTCCTCTCAATGTGAAAGACACTATATAAATGAAATTTGTTGTTGTTAAAGAGTGAACCTTGACGGTGTATGTCAGCAGGCTATTCAGTGTGAGTCATCACAGTCATAGTTAATTCTGTCTGCTCTCACTGGTCTTACACAAACGTGTACTTCCAGTGGACATGCCTGGCTAAAAATAGTACCAAGACCGCTGATTGATATTCCTCCTCCAGAACCAAATGCATGGAAATGGGTTTCAAAGCCTCTAGATCCATCAGCTACATCAACCACAAAATACACAGTCAATTCACTTTACAGTATAATTCTGCAAAGCTCTTTGAGACGTCTCAAAGACATGATAAGCCGCTATATCAAACACAACAATTATTATTAATAAATCAGAGCAGTGAGGATCAAACTTGGAACCATTCTTTTCTGTCTAGCTTATAACTTGCTCAATAAACTCACTAATTCATCGAGCAATCTATATAATCAATGTATTTAAGCATAACTTTATTAAGTCACATTTATTCATTGAAACTTTGTGACATAGAAGAAGACTATTTGGCCCATCGTGCCTGTACTAGTCCAAACTCCCTGAATAGAATTTACTCTAACCTTGTGTATGTTTTTATATGTAGGGTAGAATATAACACAGGTTTGTTTATAATGTAGTTAGGGTATGGTCTCCAATTTTTACTTGCTAAAAAAATCCAAATTCATGGCAAAAGGCAAACTGGATGACTTGGCCAACCGCACTCCACTCACTAAAAACTGGCCAGTGACCAAGCCACGGGAGATGTTGCTGTGCACAAAGTGATCTTAACAACCTGATTTCCCCAGGTCAGCTATTTTTAGCATAGTAAGCTGGTGGCAGATGGGATCTAAGACTATTCTCTTGAATATTGATCAGGAAACTTGCAAATCATGCAGTGCCTAGCTGTACCCTTCTCTCTAATCTCAACATCTGCTAAAGCTTGAACAGAACCACAAGCCATGACACCACGATCACCAAATTCCCACTCGTGATAGTTTGAAACCTGTTCTCTTGAGCATCTGCTCCACTTCAGTTGCCTGATCAGTGGAGATAACTGGAAACAGCCTTTGTAACACAAAGCTGGCACATCCCAATTGGATTCCCCTTTCTGTTCAGTGAAGGTTTTTGGTATTGGGGAACGGAAGGGATACGTACATCACTCAAAAACAACATTTTAGTATCCAGCGTTGTCATTGTTTCACTATTTTCACATATCCTTTGTAGTGGAATTGAAGTTGGAATAAACACAATAATTTAATGTAATGCTTTTACATTGGATATTTGCCTGGAATTTGTGTGTTTATTTCCATTGTTTTTTTTTTAAACAGACTTGAATGGCCTCTTGTGTGAAGTCTTATAGATCCTCTTATAAAAAAATAAAATTAGACATTTTCTGCAGAGATCCCTTAAGGTTACAACCCGTTTCATAACATTGGTATTGTGTTTGGTTGTTTTTCAGAACTGTTTTGGCCAAGTTGTTCACAAAACTTTCAAATGTATCTGATAAACCTAGGAAATTGGAATATAAATCAAAGGTAGCTCTGTGAGCAAATTTAGTCCAAGAAGATCCTGGATAAATGCACGCTAATGGAGACCATCCCAGATACAATACTGTTATCAAATAACTATATGAAAGTCTAAAGCCAGCATTCTCCTTTACAATTTCCCACATTGGAAATTCCCCAATACTAGCCCAGTGTCTCGTGGTGGCTGAATCTGAACATAGATTTAGAGGATGGGTACGGCATCTTTGAAGTTCAACAGTCTAATCATTATATACAAAGCCATTTGTGAAATTCAAGCCTTAAGTCTGAACTACAGCTTACCATAAAATGGTATACTACATATTACTGTCCTAAAACACATTTTGCTAGCCATAGAATTTGTTTTAGAAATTTACAGCACAGAAAAAGACCATTTAACTCACTGCTTTTAACCCATGGGAGAGAGAGGTTAATTTTGTTTTGCTTGTTTTGAGGAAAAGCAAAGTACTGTTGCCTCTAGAGAGGCTTCCTGCCAAGATTAGAATCTTCATTTCTTGGAATAACAGCAGTGACCTAAAGCCCTACTACTAAATGGTTCAGGGCTCTTGTTATATCAACAAGCTGAAACACTGGTTTAACTTAAAAGGGTTATAACTGTTAAATAATAAATTGGTCATTCAATCCACGGCTGTTTGTGGGACACCGCTGTGCGCAATTGGCTGCCACGTTTTGCCCACAAAATATGGAGTCGGTTCACTTTACAGTATATTCTGTGAAGCATTTTGAGACGTCTAGAAGACGCAATATCAAATACAAAGTTTATTTATTTATATTGCCTTGGGACCAAGCTGTGTGACTAATCAGATTACTTACAATAATAATCCCTCCAAAAAAACAAAACAATAATAAATTGGTCATTTTCAATCTACGACTGTTTGTGGGACATTGCTGTGCGCAATTGGCTGCCGCGTTCGCCCACAAATATACAGTCAATTCACTTTACAGTGTGTTCTGTGAAGCGCTTTGGGACGTCCTCCTGACGTGAAAAGCGCTATATCAAATGCAAGGATTATTATTATTATTATTATTATTACATTGGATAGCTAAGATTGTTCTGCAGGATAAAAATAGAGCCTACAAAATACACCATCCCTACACTTTACTGTAAATCCTGTGAAGTGTTGTGAGACATCCTGATGTGAAAGGGACTTTATCAAATGGAAGGATTATTATTATGATAATACAGTAGTTTAGAATTCCGAAAGTCATATGTTTTTGAGTACAGCCCCATAATTTCTTTTGCATTTCAGGATCTCAATCGTTACCTGGAAGATAAAGTATACCTGGCGGGAAATGGCTTCACTTTAGCAGATATTTTGGTGTACAATGGCTTGCATCCTATTGTGGTAAGTAATGTGTAAAAAGCTAAAGAATATAGTTATACACTATTTTGGGTTTAAGAATTGTATTCAATTAATATCAAACATTGAATTATTCAAATGGATTAAGAAAATTCACAAATATTTTCTGCATACAGTCCAATGGTAAATTGTACAAAGTTACATGTGCTGTTACTTTTAATTCAACTTATGTATTCTAAGGAGATCAAGAGCTTCTCTGTTCAAACACATTTTGTAGAATGATGAAATCTGAGTTGATTTTCATGTTTGAATGTTTTGTACTGAGTCATGGGATATTTTTTCCAATTTTAATGCTGCCATTTCTACTCTCAACAACAACTTGCATTTATAAAGCACCTTTTACAAGTGATAGCATCTCGGAGCGCTTAACAGTGGCGGAGCTTGACACTGAGTCTGGGAGAGAGGGGAGGTGACTAGGCATGGGTCAAAAAGAAGGTCTTCAGGTGTGATCTGAAGATGGGCGAGAGCAGAGAGTTCCAGAGTCTCAGGCCATTGTGGTAGTCTCTCCTTCCTCCCTCAAATAAAAAAAAACTAATCTTTGCAAACTGATACAAACAACAAAATATTTTAAACCTGCCTACGCTATTTTTGTTTTCCATAAATACCTACATATTTTTGGAAATGTAACAACAACAAATTGCAGTTATAAAGTACATTTCACATCTGGAGTATGTCCAAAGTTGCTGGACAGTCGAGGGTTTGCACCCAACCTGAGAGTAGGATTCGGGAGCAACGGGGACCAAGAAGGGGGGTTGGAGGGGGGTGGGCTGACCGAAGGCAAGGTCAAAGAGGAAGGTCTTGAAACAGACCTTGAAGGAGTTGAGGGAAGGAGCAAGGCAAAGGCAAACTCCATCCACTCTGGGGTGGAGTTCTAGAGTTCAGGTAAATAGGCTTGATCGCCGATGGTGGGGTGAGCAGGGTGGGGGGCTGCAGAGATCACAAATGGAGAGGGGCACCTGCCTCAACAGGTTGTTTCTAATCAGAAAAGGTTCAACTTTGGATGAAGCAGATCCTTATAGCCTACAGACCTGAAATGTCACTCTAAAGTAATTTTTAATAAAGAAGGCATAAAATGGCACAGTCAAAATCTGGCAATTTATTCAATCTTTTGAAGCTTGGAAGGTTAGCAGCACTTAACTTAATTACTGGCATACATCTTAGACTTTCTAAATATTACAAAAGTAGGGCAGGAAAAATGTATGGAACTATTAAATATTTCTTAATTCAAAGTAGTCTTGAAATATAAAATAAATCTTGTCGGAAGTTTGATTTTCATGCAGAATTATGTGGCGTTTTTACATACCAGCTATCCTTGAGGCTTGATTGCTAATTGACACTAAATTGGTAATAGCATTGAATTGTGGGCAGTTTTGTTCCTGTGTACTTATATCCACAAGGAACCTATTTGTCATGCCACAGAATAAAATTAATGTAGAACTATTCCAGTAGGCAGAGACGTCATCCTGTCATTCCGGTCGATATTCAGGCCCACATTTCCAAAGTGCAGAGACTTTTGCTTGTTGACTCACACTCTCTTTCTCTTTCTTATCCATTCTGTATGTTTTTCTCTTTACCCGCTAATGTACACTCGTCAAAAATACCACCGCTGCTTAAAAATGCACAAGTAAATATTTTCTCCCAAAATGTCAGATCCACTTTTTTTCCAGCCAGTCGCAGCCCCACACAGACATGCAGCTATTTGGTATGTGTGTGCATAGCGCTCTCCTGCTCTTTATAAGTTAACTGAATTCCAAACATCCCGGTTGAAAAAAAAATCCGCGCTAGCTGTGTTTTTATGCATTACCGTTATCACGTACTTGTGATGGTAGTGCAGATGAAGGAAGCATTTCACCAGTGCAACATTGAAACCACCTGCAGTAGAAATTCATGGCCTCCTTTGTAAAGCTTGCTGCTTTTTGTGTAAAATTCCTAAAACCTTTTGAACTTGCAAATATACAATTGGGACCTATTCTACCTTTATCCCTTTTCCCATACACTCTTTTCGCTTGCTACAATTACCTGCCTGACTAGCCAACCCTCTTGCACATAGCCAATGGGTTATTGCCCGAGTGCAAGTTAGTGAACTTCATCAAGTTAAATCATTTTCTGAGCGTCACATCAGATCCTGCCCTCACCCAGTGTGCAAACATGCTTCCAGCAAAGGTTACTGGAGGACAATCGGAGGTGAACACCCTAGCTATCTTTGTTTCCTCTTCTTCTCACTCCGAGGCGCCATCCGGCACTATATGAATGCAAGTTGTTGTTCTCCCATTGTCTATTCATAGTCCAAAGGTATGGAGGCCACATTAGTTCACCACTGCTGCCTCAGCTGGCGTTAGCTAACTCAGCGCAGCTTAAGGCTTTTCTTTTCCGTATGGCTCAGTGGTGTTCTACATGGGACCATTTATCTGCTGATCCATTAGGGTTCTTGTAGGTTTTACAGCAGCTGACTATGAGAGGTGTACTAAAGTAGTGAGTGCCATTATTAACTATTCTCGACCTTTCCTTTTAGACCCGGCTTACCCATGAAGATCGAGAGAAATATCTGAATGTGTCTCGGTGGTTTAACCACATCCAACACTATCCTGGAGTCAGACAGCACTTTGACGCCATCATCTTCATGAAGAACAGACTCTATCCTACCATCCATTAGGAAAGCTCTCTGCAGTCTTTATGTGTCATGCTGAATCTGAGCATCTGCTTGTCAGGGTTGAAGTAGTGAGGGTTGACATGGGCACATTTGCTGACTATTTCTGCCATACATGAGAACAGGGGTTGTGTTCTTTTGTCTGCCTGAACTGACTTTAGGTCAAAAGCCAATTAATTTACGACATTTTTATTTTCAGTCTGTATTGAACTCCAAAATTGGGTATACTGTGAGTATACTTGGTTGCCTCCACTATGTTAAACATAACCTTGTACAACATCTGATATCCACATGATACAATACATTGTCTGTTGAACTACAACCACATGCGCAAAATCCTCAAGCCTGCCTATTGAGCATCAGCCTCCCTACTCGGTCTTTAGATCTGGAGCTTCAAGCACCTGAAGTAGGTTACCTGAATGTTTTTTCAAGTGGCAAAATCCTGAAAACACTTCAGGCCCTTTTCCAGGTTTACCAATTCCTCAATGCAGTACACTAAATGTTGCAGAAATCCCACAACGTGATGCAACACAAAATATTCGGAAAGCTTGGGCAAGCTGTATTTGAACTGTGTTTGCAGGCACTGAGATTTTGCATGTAACATTTGCTGATATTGTACAGATCTCAGTGGGAGACGTGCTGGAGTTGGCCTCTGCCCGTTTGTTATTTTGCTCCTCTTTTTAGGGTTCTGCCTCCTCTGCTGTACATCATTCTCTGACTGAAGCAGCCCATTCATCCTCCTGCTTATCACAGGGTTAATATTGTGGGAATCCCCTTTATGAGAAATTGTATAGGAAAATCCACATTTTAGTACTGCTTGCTACAATTTGATGGTATTGTTTGGAGAATCACAAGGGTGGTGGTGCCATTGATGTGGATATCAGATGTTCTACTGTACACAGTTGTGATTTGGGATGATTCTCATTTCTCAGTGGGTTCATAGCAAAATTGTACTAGATCGTTAGAAGAGCAGTTCAAGATTTTACTTGATGCCTTTTGTTAATGAGTAAAATGAATAAATAAACTTCTTTTATGAGGGTATAAGAAATGTGATCCTGCACAGTTGTTTTAGTACAATTGTTGGTGCATTCCAGCAATAGGAGCAGACCATGTTTGTTCCTGTCACTGAAGGAGCACTGGTTAGAAGTTAGTTACCTCCGAAATAAATTATCTACATTGGAGGTGAGGGCTACATTGGAATGAGTAAATAAATCCTGAATTACAGATTGAGGAGTAAATGTGACTGCCCTCCATCTACATATCCCATCTAATTGCTATATTAAACATACTAATTAACAAAGGGCACTGAGTAAAATCTTGAATGTGTCTTCTAACTAACCAGTACAACTTTAGCAATAAATTGAAGAGAACAGTGGTGTTATGCGTCACTGAGCCTTGTTTGTTGTGTAGATTTAAACCAAAGGATACTGTGCTATGTGGTGTTTGAAATGTAACAAAAAAGCTAACAATTTTTTATTAATAGTGACCTAAGAATTTCCATAGGCAACCTGGATTACCTTCTTTAAAAAGGAAAGTACTTGTGTTTGCATTATCTTTTTTAATGATTTTAAGGCCGGTGAGAATGTGCTATTGTTAATAAAAGGGAGCCAGTAATCTTCGCTCAACTGTGACGATCGCTAATCTACTGTGACCCTACCAGTCACAAAACCATGTCTTATAATAAAATCAGTACACAAGGTGACTATTTCACATTAATGTTTATTAGCAGATGTCTGGAATGAGTACTCTGAAATAAATCAGAATAAATTTAGTTGATTGTTATTTGGTACGAGCAGTTTTAAAATTCACAAAAATACATCCCAAACCCGAGACCTCATATATTAACATGGAATGCTGTACAACACTTCTTCTTGGAATTTGTTTTAATATTTTTGAATATGAAAAAAACAGGACTGAGTAAGCTTGTTAAAACTTTATCTTAAAATGATCTCAGTATGTTTGCACTTGACCTCTGATAGTTCTTCATGGCTCAGTGTTATCAATTCAATACCGCCTTTTAATAAGATTCTCTTCTTTGATAACATGTGTTACTAGTAAAAGAACTTGGGTTCTGATAGAAATGAGCATGGTAGTACTGGGCATAACTTTCCGAGACACTTTGCTTAATGGCTGTAATGAGGAGTCCTCTTTTTTATGGTTTAAAACAATATACAATGAATGTCCCACTGAGACTGATAGTTTGTATAAGGACTTGGTGGAGCAAAGTTGCATACAGCTGCATTTAAAGAAATGTCTTCATTTACAATGGAATGCTTATTTAATATAGTCCATCCTGTTCATAATTCTTGATCATCAACTCCCGATTTAATCTCGCTAACCATGGCAGCAATGATCACGAGTCTTCAGTATGGAAAATTGCCATGAATTGACAGCACAGAATGCACTGGTTGTCAGCCTCTGTATCAAGACCTGTTACCAGTACAAAGAACATGAGAACTCAATAAAAGCTCAGTGTCAATTATATGTATACATTTTTTTTAAAAACTGGAGTATTTCCCGGCAATAATCTAATCTATGCTCAAACAACAGTTCTCTCTATATCAAATGCAAGGATTATTTATTATTATCTGTTTGGGCTTTACTGTTGAGTTTGTGACATCACTTGAAGCCCTCAATTAGATTACATACTTGTAATCACTCAGAACTATCCATGATTCTCCCATTTAGTCAGATACGTCACACCACAGAACAAAAATTATTATTTTTTAGGTATGAATTTTTAATGGTGGTATACTTTTAAGTTTTTTTAAAATTTACAAGACTCAGTTACCAAGGAAAACACATTTTGACTTTTGGGATAGAGAAAAGATCTCTTTTTTGTGCCTATTTTAGAATTCCTTAGAATATTTGTGGAGTTCTGTATCTCAGTGGTAAGAGCACTCGCCTCTCAAACAAGAGATCTGGGTTTGATTCCCGGCAGGGCGAACCTTGGGTAAGTTTTCTTACTCCACACACTTAATAATAATCCCTCAAGAAAAAAACAATAATGAATTTGTCACTTCAATCCACGACTGTTTGTGGGACACTGCTGTGCGTAATTGGCTGCCGCGTTTTGCCCCAAAAATTTACATTGTATTCTGTGAAGCACTTTGAGAGTCTAGAAGACGTGAAAAGTGCTATATCGAATGCAAGGATTATTATTGTTGTTATTATCACACCCAGTATCACAAATCTTAAAGTCTTGGCCCAGGCCCAAAATTAAGATCTCAATCTTCTGAGAATAGTATGCAAAATCCCGTATGTTTTTATACAACCAATGTAGCTGTTTAAAAATGTGAGTTAAGATTAAAGGTACTGTGGATAAATACAGGAAGCCCAAGAGATGATAGAATCAAAGAAATAACAGTATAGAGGGTTGCTAAGTGCACTGATGAAGGAAGATTGCATTATAAGTACAGTTAAATTGGGGATAGAAAATGTGAGAATCGTGCCCTGGGAATATTCAACCTACTTACCATTTGTTTAACAACAAAATGGTTTAGTAAGAAATAAGAAAAATTATGTGACTATTCCTCTCATTAGGCTTCCTGACTGACTGACTGCCTGTCCGACATCAAGTCCTGGACGAGGGCCAACTTTCTCCAACTCAATGTCAGCAAGACTGAGGCCATCCTGATTGCCAGGCTCTGGCAGCATCAGCCTCCACGGCTGCACACTCAACCTCACTAAGCCAGTCAGGAACCTGGGTATTTTGTTTGACCCTGAACTGTCCTTTCTCCCCAACATCCGCGCCATGACCGGTACTGCCTACCATCACCTCCGCAACATTGCCAGACTCATCCATTGCCTCACCCCTCAGGCTGCTGAAACCTTCACCCACGCATCTGTCACCTCAAGGCTTGATTACGGGAACTCCCTCCTCATCGGCGTTCCCAACTCTTCCCTTCACAAGCTGCAGGTCATCCAAAATTGCAGCTCGTGTACTCTCATGCACCAGGCTCCGTGACCCCATCACTCCCACACTCGCCCGACTCCACTGGCTCCCCATCCCCCAGAGGATCAAGTTCAAGATCCTTGTCCTCACCTTTAAGGCCATCCATGGCCTTACCCCCTCCTACCTCTCTGACCTGCTGACTCCCTATCAACCAGAGTCCGGTCTGCTCCATGTCTCCCGCCCGACCCGCCCTACCATCGTGGCCGGGCTTTCAGCCTCTCTGCCCCCACACTCTGGAACTCCATCCCACGGTCCGTTTGTTACGCTTCCTCCCTTGCCTCCTTCAAGGCCAGTCTCAAGATCCTTCTCTTCGACCGTGCCTTTGGTCTCCCTCCCACCTCTTTGCCTTCCCTCACCCCTACACCACCACCTCCCCCATGCTCGGGCCCCTGGAACGTCCTCCAGAAGTGAAAGGGACTCTATAAACGTAATTTTGTTGTTGTTGATTATTAATTTAAACTAATCTAAAATGTGTCAATGGGATTCCTTTCATGAGGCGGTGCTCTGGAAGGATGAGAACAGATGGGCCGAAGGGCCTTCTTCATCCAAACCGATCTAGTGAGTTTAGATGAGCCAACAGTCTATTTCTGCCTGAAACTAATGTCATAGTCTAGGCCAGTGATGGCCAATATTTATGGTTGACCACCACTGGCCTAGACTATAATGTTATTTTAAGGCAAAAGTAGACTTTTGGCCCTTTATGGTTGGCCAACAAATTACATTTTCTTGATTGATTTAAGCCATATATAAAGAAATATTCCAGCAAGAAAAACTGAAAACACACTGCCCATCGAACATGGACTTACCTGGACTCATGCAAATGATCAGGGCGGTTGGGGGGTCCTTTATGATGGCCTCACGGGCCACTTCCAGCCCACCGGCCACAAGTTGGCCCCCAGTACTGTCCAGGGAGTGCTTTGCATTGTTGGAGGTGACATCCTTTGGATGAGATGCTAAACCTAGGTTCCATCTGCCTGTGCATTTTATTTCAGGCAGTATTGGAAAAGAAAAGAGAGTTTTTCCTGAACAATCCTCCACATAACAAATTGATCGTTGATTTCATGGCTGTTTGTGGGACATTGCTATCCACAAATTGACTGCTGTATTCACCTATAAATATAATATACCCTGTAAAGCATTTGAGATGTTTCAACAATAACAACTTGCATTTCTATAGCGACCTTCGCAGGGGGTAGCATCCCGGAGTGTTTCAATGTGATAATGATTATTATTATCAACATAAAGTTTATTAATACTCAATGTACAACATGGTTAAAATCAGTGCACCTTTAACTTTATTCAGAAAAATACCAGGTGTTTTTCAATTATACGACTTTAGCACATTTGTTAAGAGGATGGCCAAAAAAAATGTTTGACTTCTTTCAGGTTATTCTGGTAAGACTACATTATTGTTTCATATTGATTCATTCAGCAAAACTTCACCTTTAAGTTGCTGGGATCCTTGTCTATATTTATTTGTGTTATTTGACAATAGACTAGATCTGACTCAGTTTAAGAGATGCCGTAAGTCAACTACAGAAAAATGAATGGATTGAATTACAACCCTGAAGTCACAAAAGTGTCCGTTAAATCCCCTATCCCTTCAGGAATCATTCTGTAAACACTGAGGATATGAGGCAGTTTCTGTACAGAAATGTACAGTCTGCTGGTTCAAATGTTTTCAATAACACGATGTTCACTAAGCAATTTTTGCTATAGGACCCGTGTCAGACTTGATTTTCTGAGGGATCCCATATCATTGGGGGTAATTATCACATTGCATGCATATTTTCAGGCCGAAAAGGATTTACCTCAACATTGAAACACTAGGGCAATAGCCTTCAAATATACTAACAAACCTGAATCTCTCATTCTGCAATATCAAAACTTGTTAAATTTGCAACTACAAATAAAAAATATATATTTAAAAAAACTCCTGGCATTTGATATAGTGCCTTTCACATTAGGAGAACGTCTCAAAGCACTTCACAAGATTTACTTAAGGTAAGTGTGTATTTCTTTTCTAGGACAATGTCAAACATCAAAATAGTGAATCTTAGAAAGCCAGAGTGACTCATAATAATAATAACAATCCTTGCATTTGATATAGCGCCTTATCATATTATTCTGTCATCTCAAAGTGCTTTACACAATATAATATAAAGTGGATTGATTGACTGTGTCTTTTGTGGGAGAAACAGCAGCCAATTTGCGCACAGCAATGCCCTACAAACAGCCACAAATTGAATGACCAATTTTATTTGGGAGGATTGTTAAATGTTTTTTAGCATCTTGTGTACACTTGGGTAATGGGATTTTAGCTGATGATCCAAGTATATACAGTGTGGAGGACAACTGTAAGGGTAAAAATGACCCTCATCTCTTCCATGGTCATGTCCATGATCTGAATCTTTGTACAGGTCCTACAATTGTGATTAAAGATGCAAACGTTTCCACAGGCTCTCAAACATTGAGCTGAAAACTTAGGTTACCAGTGGTGTTTGCGCACTTTATTAATAGATTTAGCTATCCTCGCAAACAATTACTGGTTGAAATTTTAGGAACAGGCGACCAGACTGCCTCCCAGTTCTCATCTGTGAACACCATATTCAATTCAACCGCACACATCCCAAGTAGCTGAGAAAAAGCTACTCAGTACCATAAAAATTGAATAAAAGCTGAGGAAGCTGAGAGCCTTGTGCAGCGACCTGTAGCCTTGATGACTTGTGTAAGATCTGTGAACTATTGTTGTAGGATACAATACAGCACTTTTCATGGTGGGAGGACATCCCAAAGTGCATTCACAGTTAGGATTGGTATCCAGACTGGAGACTATCCTAGAACAAATACATGAGAGAGTTATGAAAGAGACTTTCTGTTCCTAAGAGAACTAACCAATTCTCAAAACCTGAAGAATCTTTGGAATACTTAAACTCAGTAAGCAGGCAAATGTCCTATTACATGCTGAAAACGTAGACTGAACTTCAGAACAAAAATTATCTTCACAGTTGAGAAAAAATAAAAGCACTTTAAAAAACTGCACACATCACAAAAAGATGCCTTTGTTTTTTCAGATAGGGAAAGCCCAGCAGGCAACACAAATCAATAAAATGATAAACTAAAAACTACTTTGTTGATATATTTGTTCCACTTCAAAAAAAATAGTGCTGCTTCAGTTGCATACAGGAAAGTATGTCTTAATTTGAAATACTTAAATGGATTAACATGTTAACCTATAATCAGGACTCTGATCTCATAGACTGACACGGCAATGCTGAACCAAGGGAGTGCTGTATTGTAAGATGCCGTCCTTCAGATGGGACATTAAACTGAGGTCCTGTCTGTCTGTTCAGGTGGACATTAAGGATCCCATGACACTATTCAAAAAGAGAAGGAAGTTTCTCCTGATGTCTTGGACAACAATCCCCCAGATAAATTTGGTCATTCACTTCCATGACTGTTTGTGGGATATTGTTGTGTGCAAATTAGCTGCTGTGTTCACCTTCAAAATATAATCACTAACTACA